GTTGTAAAATTAGGTAATGTAGGGCCAGTGCAGGTAAACGTAATACTTTCATTGATAATTGATACTAGTCGCACAATTTTTAAGGCAGGTATCGCCAATGTGCAGGTATGTTGAACGCATCTATCGGAGTAGTTTCCTTATAAATGTTAAAAATAATGCTTTTGATGCGCATTTTGGGGTAGGTATCTTAAATTTGCACTTAAGCATAGAGGCAGCAAAGCAAAATATACTGTATTCCGACTATCATGCAGATAGGTTATGTGAAGTGTGCCCGAATTCGGCCCAGCGGTTCATGATATATATCAGTTTATGTCTGTCACATAAACCACGTATATGGTACAACAGCAGATACATGAAAAATCGAAAACATAGTGAAAAATTGTTGTTTTGATGTGCTGTGTTTATTTTTTCTTCGGATAAATTAAGTCAAATATAAACATGGCTGCAATATAGTAAAAATAAAATAAAATTTCATATAGAAAAATTCCAGGATTTTTCATTCATTTTGCAATATTTAGTGTAGAGAAGCACACCGGGGTACCGCTAGTTTGTTTATAAATTTGATTGAATTATATTTAAGTTTAAGCATTTACATTTTTATATATTTTTTATGTTTACAATTTTACATTTAAAATTTTTAATTTTTAATTAAAAAAATATTTAAGAATTTAGTTTAAATATTTAAATTTCCTTTAGTTTGAAGTTCAAACATTGAACTATTAATTGCAGTAATAATATTTATAAAAATTGAATTAAAAAAATTTAAATATATTTTAAAAGATATATGTTTTTGAGTTGAATATACGAACATTAAATTTATTTTAATAAATATATCATACATAAAATTTCCAGGTTCCTAGACTAAATAAAAAAAGTATACAAATTTAGTTTAAATACTTGAGATTTTTTAAGTAACTTTCACTGTAATATTCAGAATAATAGTTAAAAAAATGAGATGAAATGCTTAAATGAAATTCCGCTTATAGCGTTTTTGTTTAAAATAATTAGATTCATTCTTAATATTTGATTTTTGGTAAAACTCAATAAAAATGTTTAAAATTTGTATAACATTTTTAAATTTTTTGTCTAGTTAAAAATAAAATTTTCTAAAAACTTATGGCCTTATTCATAAAAAATAAAGTAGCTTTATAAAAGGTTTATAAATTGAAAAATGTATGGAAACGTCAATTTATAAAGCTCTTTAAACCTACTTTATTTTTTATGAATAAGGCCATTAAATTTTATCAACCTAATTGTCTTGAAATTGTTTCATTATTTGTAATATTTTTCTTCTGAAAGTGTTCACATTGTTTACATCTCATTTTATCCCTTTACCTAAAAATCCTTCTACCCATAAGCCAAAATCGTCCGAATCGAAGTTAAGTAAACATAAAAGAAATTGATCACATGACTGCTACATGTTGTAGCAACAACAACAATAAACCCAAATAATAATAATAATCTCATGTAGGAGTAAGTAATTCACCAACTAACTCTCTGCCTGGCCAGTGTCGCTGTCCAAGTGGCCTGACATATGCATTGCAAATACGCCGCAGGATAACAATGGACAGGATAAACAAACAAACGGTTGACATGCACTCAAATTGGTTTTGCGCAAATATGAGGAAAAAATGCATTCAATTGAAATTGGTAAAACAGCTGTTATTTTAAAAGGAAAAAGCTCAAAGCTTTGGGCAAACACACGCGTACAGCGAAGCAAATGGTTAAACATGAAAATATTTTGTTAAGAGGTGAGGAGCAGAAATGAGAATTGCGTAAAAAAACTTGTTTGCATTGGAAAGTGAATGCTTGTTATTTGAATTCAATCGGGCAGCTTCAACAACACTCACTTCCGAGGGAATTTCAATACAATTAGATCTGAGTAGTTACTAGAAAATGTTTAACTAGAAATGCAGAAAAAAACACTTAATTTATTTGTCCAAAATTTTTTTTTAAATATTTAATGCATTACAAATTCCCAGTTATTTTCCCATTTGTTTTTCGCCATGGCCATCACTTTCCTTGTTTTCCTACGCACATTTCTCACAACGGATGCGGTTGCACTAAATCAGTGGTTGCACATTTGAGAGTCGTAAACAGACACATTTAGTTGGCGCCATGCATTTTCTCGAATTTGGCAAAAGTCAACGGGAGATAGAAATTTAAATAAATATACATAAAGTGCATAGTTGTATACATAAATACAGTTCTACAGAAACTGATAATGAAAAACAAAAGGGATGTTCCCTTTTCGTTAATTGATATCATTTTCTTGGTTAAATTTGATGTGATTATGAAAACTTTCGTAAATACAAATATTTGCTTCAATATTTCTGAACGCTATAGGTAATATTTTACTTTTGTATCTCAAAAAATGTCGTAGCAATCCTTATTTAAATATGTGTGGAGCTGGTGAAGTACAAGCGCCAACTTTTATTATTTGAGTGTATTTAAAAAATTAATATTTTTTTTTTTACCAAAGTACTACATTTAAACGAAAAAAATATACTTTTTCGCTACCTAAATTTTTAAATACGCAGAAGTAGTAAAAATAATAGCCTATTTCCACCAAAAGCTTAACTGCAGTTAAGAGATCAGGTAAGTCGCAATAATTTTCCTTTCCCCCTTTTTATTTGTTTAATGTTAAATAATTTTTTTTATTAAAGTCTAGTTAGTTATGTATATAATACTTAAGCACCATATAAATCCACATTTAAAACTTTGAAGACAAATTCAACAAATTTTCACTACAACAATAAACTTTTTATTTATAATTTTTAGAAAATTTATAAGTACGCTGTTTCGTGCCGCATTAAGTAGAATAAAGTGCAAGTTTCAAGGGGCTAAGAATTCGTGTTAATTTTTTTTTTTGTAATTTTTTGAAAATTTTCGAACACAGTAATTTTGTATGGAAGAAAATGCGTGACAGCGTCAGTAAACAAATTTCGAAAACGGACACTATAGACACTTAAAACAAGAAAATTGTCGTTGCACAAGTTTATTGAATTTTTCTAACTTTTGTACAAAGTTAGAAATTTGGATTTTCATGGCTCTTTTTTAGACCGTATCATTTTGCCGCAGGGGGGTACGACTGGTACACATAGTACCAGAAGCACTTTTATTTTATTGAGAAATTGTTTAAAAAAATAACTAATTCTCGTACAGTAAAAGATGCTTTTTTAATGGAGATACAGATAAACGGAAACTGAAAAAATATACGGGCGTTATATATAGGTATACCTGGAATATTCGGCCATTTAGTGGGAAGGTGCTACTGCTTTTCCACCACCATGGAAAGTCACGAAGCACGGTGTGCAAAATGAACTTTTTTGTGACAAAATTTGATATCTCGAAAATGAGATCAACTAGCGAAATAAATTTAACATTTTTTTAAAGCTCTTGAGATAAAGAACTCAAAAAATAGCTACGTTCAATAAAAACAAAATTACCTTGACCTTTAAAATATTCTTCAAAAACTGAGGATTTTAAATTTTTCTCTGTTTGACTTAAAATTTATAAAAAGTTTTAAACATGTATGTTTGCTGTACTATCATCAAGGAATCCAACTCCAGGGTCGCAAAAACCAAAAAAACTCAGTTTTTTTATAGTTAATCACAGGGTAAAAAAAGCAAACAAAGTGAAAAATCTAAAATTTCATTTTGAAGGTAATTTTAGAATTCTTGCTGAATAAAAAAATGACCATAACCTTAAAAATTATTACTTTTTATTTAAAATATATTTTTTTGGCTTGGAAAAAATTGTAATGAACTTAAAAAAAATTAAAATGTGTTTTTCTGTGCTTCTGGCCCAGAAAATGGATTCCTTGATGCCAGAACAGCAAAAATATCGAGCCCTATTTCCCGAATTCTCTGTCTTCAAAGCATTGAAATAAGTTGAATCTACATACTTTGCTAGCGGATCTCGTTCTCCAGATATTTAATTTTGTCACAAAACAAATTAATTTTCCACACTGTGCGACATTCAATGCCGCCGCCTTCTATAGGACCGCAAAATATGAAGTTTATTTAATCTCGAGTTAGACAAGTTGTCGATTTGTTGGTTGAGAGCGTAAAAAAAAAATTATAATAATAAAACAAAAACACTGCAAATTCGGACCCCAAAAGTCTAATAAAGCCATAAATTTCTTAAAGTATAATTTCAGATTATTAAAAGATAAACGAAAAACGAGTCGGCATTGAGCTCTTCAAAAATGTCACTTCTCAAATTATCAGAGCGACAAATCTTAAACAATTTTCATGCAGAACCAGTCAGTAGTCCAAACATTTTGATGCTTTTTTTAAATGAATTTTTATTAATTCCAAATTGCTCTCATTTAGCTAATTTATAAATAGACACAACTGCGGCTATCCACGAACTGGGATTTCCTGATGGAGTCTTAGTTGAGCTACTTAGTTGAGTCTATTGAGGGCTTTCTCGATGCGTCGCAAAGTTTTTTGCATTCTGTAGCAAAAAGTAATTTTACCCGATTTGTGGAAATATACAGTTATTGTTTCAACTTGCATATACACTGAGAAAAGAGTTTAGTTACGTCAACTAAATATGTTTTTATCAACACATGATTTGGTTATAGGTACATTATTTGTTTATAGTTACCAAATCATGTGTTGAGAGGAATATATTTGGCTGACTTTTTTCTGAGTGTACATTTCTTCTGCTGCCAGATACAAAAAAAAAAAAATGTGACTATTATTGCTTTGTGAAGTTGGCTTTGCTTTTTATTTTTTATTGCCTCTTTTTTTAATTTGAAAAGCAGAATTTAGTTGTGAGACGGGTTAGTTGTCGGACCTGTATAGTTGGATTGAGCTAATGATATCAGCGCTAATGCTTCATTTTATTTGCTCGATATGTATGTATGTATGTATGTATATTATAGAATCGCGGAACAAAAGACTATTGCAGTGAGTAAATCACAAAAACCCGATCATGGAGGTGGAAAAAATGGTGGTAACTAGTAAAGAAGAAAAGAGAACGCAGCTAGAATGGCAAAAGTTCCGGTAAAATTTTTGGCAACAAGTATTCTTGTATTGCCTTTATTAGGGATGCTTAGAGTGCAGAATTTAAAGAAGCCGCGTGTGCTTAGAAAAGAAATCATATAAAACTGTGCAGCATCGGCGTTTAGACAGACAGAAGTCGAAAAGTTTTCAGTTGAACTACTCACTTTAGAAAAAATGGTAAATATTTGATGATTGTGAAAAAATAAATTTTAAAAGTGTTAAATTGAAAAGTAGTATAATAATATGTACATATGTCATCAAAGAAATTTGAGAATGTGCATTTTCAAAGTGCAAGGAAATTGCGAAAATTTTGCATGCCGAAATAAATAAATTTTTTTTTTTAATTAAAAATGATGGAAACGGGAAAATTGGGTGGCTGCAAAAAGTTTTGCTAAAAAAGACGATTTCAACAAAAAAAATAAATAAATTTGAAATAAAATGTATAAAAAAAATACTTTTTTAAAATGATATAAATAATTGACTGAAAGAACTATAAACAAATTTTAAATATTAAAATAATAAAAAAAATTTACTGGAATAAAATAAAAAAATACGAATTGGAACACTGATTTCCTTATAAAACCGCAAACATTTTTATATAAAAATACTAACTAAAAATACGGAATTTTTAAAATTGTATGGAGATGATTAAGAAATAAAAATAATATAATCCGCAAAACCTGAATAAACAAAAAAAATAAGTTAAAAATAAAACTGAATTAAAAATTTGACCATGACTGACATCTGGATTGTGTAGATAAAAAATGAAAGAATATTTCAACAATAATTTACATAGTGAACAAGTAATTTTTAAGCAAAAACAAAACCGACTTCAATTATCCAAACTTAGTATAGCATCACCCTTGAGGTACCACCTTTGCGATGAAAAAGGAATTATTGAAATCAGTTAACGTGGTCCAAAGTTATGCGGCAATATACATAACAAAAAATAATTATAAAAAAAAAAAATATTCCGACGAACTGATAACTTCCTCCTTTTTTCGAAGTCGGTTAAAAATTACTTTTTCTTTCTGGCAGTTTTCAAATAAAACCAAAAAAGAACTATAATTATCATAAAATAAAAAATCAAAAGCGAAAGCACTTTTTTTTTTTATTTTTGCAACAAAAACACGAATAACTTAATAAAAAGATTCAACTCGAAATACGGACGCAACATTTTTTATTATTACCAATTAAAGTTGTTTTTTCTTTTTTCATGAAAATTTTTTGTTTATATTTTGATTTTTACAAACAAATTTTTTTGTTTTTTTTTTTACGAAAATTGTTTGCATGCATGAGGTTTGGCTGAATTTTATGAGCATATTTTCGAAATTAAAATATTTTTTCATATGTTTTTACATATGTTTTTTTTTTTATTTTTGCGTTTTAAAAATAGGGGTTTTAACAGTACCTACTAGTTAAAATATATTTAAAAATTCCTATAAAACACTAAAAAAGTCACTACCATATTTCGTATCCATTTTGAATTTATTTTAATCTTTCAAAATATAAATTTTTTTTAAATGCCAAATTTAAAAATTATATTTTTTTATGTAAAATATTTATATTAAAGAAAGTTTTGCCAATACATTTATTTAGATATGCATAATTAAATATTTAGTAATTCCACAAATTTCTCCCATTTTCACTTTAACTGTTACTATATCAATAAAACAATAGCACTTAAGGCAAAGCGTATTAACCTGTCTCTCCCACTCTTCCAGAAATTCTTCGCCATTGCCGCCTTCGCCGCCGTGCTGGCCTGCGCCTGCGCTGATGTTTCCGAACTTGGCTATGCCTACAGCCAACCCGCTGCTAGCGCTCCAGTAAGCTCTTACTTTGCACCAGCTGCCGCTGCTCCAGAGCCAGCCTATGCTCCTGCTCCCGCCCCAGCACCAGTCTATCAAGCTGCCCCATCTGTTCCCGTCTCATCGTACATTCCACCTGCTGCCACTGCTCCTGAGCCAGTCTATGTGTCCGCTCCAGCACCAGCACCAGTCTATCAACCAGCCCCAGCTGCCGCTGCTCCAGCTCCCGTCTATGTTTCCGCTCCAGCACCAGCTCCAGTCTACCAAGCTGCCCCATCCGCTCCCATCTCATCGTACATTCCACCTGCTGCCACTGCACCTGAGCCAGTTTTCGTTTCTGCCCCAGCACCAGCTCCAGTCTACCAAGAAGCTGCTTCTGAGGTCTATGAGCAACCCGCTCAAGATGGGTACAGATACCGTACCGTCCGTCGTCGTGTCTACAAGCAACGTCGTTACTAAACTCAGTTTTTCAATGTATGTAAAGCTTTAGAGCTCAGCAAGCATCGCGTGAACAACTGAGAGGCTTTCGTAGCGAATTAGTTTTTTTAATTCGCTTGAATTGTGTTGTTAACTATTTTTTCGAAAAATAAAATCCACATTTAAAAATACAAGGTATTCTTTTTTCTCAATTAAGGTTCAAGTAGAAGGTCGTCTTGGGAGACGTTGATGTGGTTTTGCAGGCGTAATAAATGAGCAACAGCAAGCTTTTTGGATTAGATTGCTATTGCGACACCGCACTCTATTTTAGATCCATCGTTTTAGAGAGAGAGATAGTTGGCTTGACTACTATGGGAACTGCATCTGAAAATTGATTTTATGGGTCATTTATGCTTAAGGATATATATTTTCAAAGGCAGAGAAACCATATACTTTTTCGGCCTTCTTTATGATGGCTATTTTTTCGATTGGCAGGTAGAAACAACATACTCGTAGGATCGACCGCATTAAAAAAAAAACTTCTTTTATCATATCTTGCATATGTATTAAGTTAGGGCCGGAGTCGGGATGTTCCGAGTGATCGGCTGCAATTACACGGGTACCAGGGCAGTCTTTCAGTGGCGAAGTTTAAACCACACTGAAATACCCGGCTATTTAAAGAGATATGTATCTAGTATAAGGCTGTTTAGAACTAGTCGACCAAACCACCTTCCTTTGGCATTGAGGACGTTGTGTTGGCTATGAACTTTGGTGGCGACTGCGAAGCGGGTGGTGATAGAAAGAACTAGCTACGAAAGCTAATCTCTAGAATTGTCGTTTATTAACTGTCTGAATTAGTTTAGAGGCTACTGAGTCGAAGGCCCNTGTGGTTTTGCAGGCGTAATAAATGAGCAACAGCAAGCTTTTTGGATTAGATTGCTATTGCGACACCGCACTCTATTTTAGATCCATCGTTTTAGAGAGAGAGATAGTTGGCTTGACTACTATGGGAACTGCATCTGGAAATTGATTTTATGGGTCATTTATGCTTAAGGATATATATTTTCAAAGGCAGAGAAACCATATACTTTTTCGGCCTTCTTTATGATGGCTATTTTTTCGATTGGCAGGTAGAAACAACATACTCGTAGGATCNGATAGATGGCTTGACTACTATGGGAACCATGATTCAATAATGAAAGGTTTTGTAAGAAAAACTTTCTCTCGCTNTAAAAAAAAAAAACTTCTTTTATCATATCTTGCATATGTATTAAGTTAGGGCCGGANAATGTATGTAAAGCTTTAGAGCTCAGCAAGCATCGCGTGAACAACTGAGAGGCTTTCGTAGCGAATTAGTTTTTTTAATTCGCTTGAATTGTGTTGTTAACTATTTTTTCGAAAAATAAAATCCACATTTAAAAATACAAGGTATTCTTTTTTTCTCAATTAAGGTTCAAGTAGAAGGTCGTCTTGGGAGACGTTGATGTGGTTTTGCAGGCGTAATAAATGAGCAACAGCAAGCTTTTTGGATTAGATTGCTATTGCGACACCGCACTCTATTTTAGATCCATCGTTTTAGAGAGAGAGAGATAGTTGGCTTGACTACTATGGGAACTGCATCTGGAAATTGATTTTATGGGTCATTTATGCTTAAGGATATATATTTTCAAAGGCAGAGAAACCATATACTTTTTCGGCCTTCTTTATGATGGCTATTTTTTCGATTGGCAGGTAGAAACAACATACTCGTAGGATCGACCGCATTAAAAAAAAAACTTCTTTTATCATATCTTGCATATGTATTAAGTTAGGGCCGGAGTCGGGATGTTCCGAGTGATCGGCTGCAATTACACGGGTACTAGGGCAGTCTTTCAGTGGCGAAGTTTNATCGGGATGTTCCGACTGATCGGCTGCAATTACACGGGTACCAGGGCAGTCTTTCAGTGGCGAAGTTTAAACCACACTGAAATACCCGGCTATTTAAAGAGATATGTATCTAGTATAAGGCTGTTTAGAACTAGTCGACCAAACCACCTTCCTTTGGCATTGAGGACGTTGTGTTGGCTATGAACTTTGGTGGCGACTGCGAAGCGGGTGGTGATAGANATAAACCGCATCCATAGGCCCAATCGTCACACGACAGTTCGGTTTAGTCAANTATTTAAAGAGATATGTATCTAGTATAAGGCTGTTTAGAACTAGTCGACCAAACCACCTTCCTTTGGCATTGAGGACGTTGTGTTGGCTATGAACTTTGGTGGCGACTGCGAAGCGGGTGGTGATAGAAAGAACTAGCTACGAAAGCTAATCTCTAGAATTGTCGTTTATTAACTGTCTGAATTAGTTTAGAGGCTACTGAGTCGAAGGCCCGTAGGAATTTAGGAATAGCAGACCCAGTACAGGGTAGCAAGTTGAAGGCGCTCAAATAAGTTTTTCCACATGCAACACTGTTTATTTGCTGCCATCTAAGCTGCAGTTGCGGCATTTTGTTTTGTTGTATGTAAGACCTATTCTACAAGCATGTCTTTCTAGTGGCCAATACTTCTACCCTTAACCTACTTAGTAGCTCTGCTGTTCTCTTACTGCTATAGTTAGACCAAAGCTCTCGTGGTATCCTGCAATTCTAGATCTCCCACCATTTCCTCCTTGCAGTTCCCGAAGATGCAGATGGACTTCTGTTTGCATTTGCCTGAGGGGACAACCCAGTACCGCCACAGATTAATCTCAACAAGCTTCCGCCTTGGCCAGTTGGTATGCTCTCCCGTTGCCTTCTATGTTTCTATGGCCGGGAACCCAGACAAGAGAGATGGACATTGACTGAGATGTCGAGCGTAGTTATATCTTATACTATACAGTAGATGGTACAGCCAGGGGTGCTGCCTGACTCTCTGAGTAAATAACTGCTCTTTCTTTCCTGGTATCACTACATTCTACTATTCTACAGGCTTAACATACATATGCCCAGAGCTTCAGCCTGAAATATGCTGACATGGTTTACCAGCCGAAGGCGCCGATTGACACTAATCTACTTGGAATATACCTCTGTCCCTACACCGCAGTCCATCTTGGATACGGATGGCTTCCTTATCGGCAGCTTGTCCCCACTGGATGGAAACCACACACGTAGATTCAAGCCAAAATCGAGGCTTGATACCATCCGTGGTTTTATTTGCTATCGAGGTAAGGCTTAATATTGAGATATGTCCGAGGGTCCTCGATGTCTAGTGGACAGACTCTCTGAGTCGTAGTGCTGAGTTCATCGCGTTTTTCTTTAGGCAAACATCAATGGAAATCATATTGGGGTCTAAATTCAGTGCTTCTGCGGGGCAGGATTTCAGTGCCGCAGTTAGCCCCGAGCATGCTGCTACAAAACCTTATATAAGAGTTGAATGGGCTATAAAACTGCATACCCAAAATTAAAAAAAATAACGAAAAAAGTGTGAAATTTTGATGAAACTTTGTTGAGTTTTATAACTAAACGGCAGACTCAAAATTTTTAAAAATTCTGAATAAAAAGTTCTGAAATAGAAGTGATGAAAATCCTGTTGTTTTTTTTTTAATTTATAAAATTCGAAACTTTGTGTTTATATTGTTTTCTTTTTTTATAATAATAATTAGAAAAAATAATAAAAAACTAAATTGCCAAAACCTGTTGTTGTAGCGGTGTTGTCCAAACTTGTCAAATATATCGATGTGGTATAGTTCTGATAAGGTGTATACTTGTATTTAACATAAGGAAATAATATAAAATACAATTAATTTAATTGATGGCTTTAAATCATAAGAATCGAAACATTGGTCCATTAGCACAGAGGGTAGGTAAATTACCTTAATTAATTTTTGAGCAAATCCAACAAAAAAAATTTGCGCTAAAACTTAAAATCATAGGTCAGTTACCTTAGATTTGCTGGCAGAAATTTTTCACACGCTTTGCGTAGAGCTATACATTTGATAATGCATTTTAATTTGATTTGTCTCAAAGAGTATCAAATAAAATATCAAACGATTCGTGGCTTTTAAGTACCTTGAGCTGCCCTCGCTTAACTTAATTAGCGATTTTGATGCAAAAAGCAAATATCTACCTACAAACCTACATAACCGTATTCATAATGTAGTGTACTTATTGTTGCTATCCGCTTTTTATCTTCCTTTCACGATGTTTTGTTTATGGTTGTCATACAAAAAAAAAACAAAAAAGAAATATTTCAATCCACTAAACAAATGCAGCATCTTAAGTTGGGCGTTGATATAAAAACTGCAAGACGACAACGATTAACCAGACACAAGTCGAACACAGTTCACTAGAGTAACTAATCCAAGCAAACAAAGCAAATATGGTAAGTACCTTAACTGGAAAAAAAAAAAATNCAGTTCACTAGAGTAACTAATCCAAGCAAACAAAGCAAATATGGTAAGTAACTTAACTAGAAAAAAAAAATATTTTCGACTAAAAAGGACTTTAATTTGCAGAAATTCTTCGCTATTGCCAGCTTAGCCGCCATATTGGCTTGCGCCTGCGCTGACGTCTCTGAGCTATCTGGTTATCACTACCACCCGCATCACTATAGTGCTCCATCCCATTCGTACATTCCACCGGCAGCTACTGCTCCTGAACCAGTCTTCGCTCCTGCGCCTGCTCCAGCACCAGTTTACCAGCCAGCTCCTGCAGCCGCTGCTCCAGCTCCAGTATATCAGCCAGCCCCCGCCCCTGTCTACCACCCAGCCCCAGCTGCCGCCGCCCCAGAGCCAGTCTATGCTCCAGCCCCCGCAGCAGCTGCTCCTGAGCCAGTTTACCAACCTGCTCCAGCGGCCCCTGAACCAGTCTACCAGCCAGCTCCTGCTGCCCCCGCTCCAGTCTACCAGCCAGCTCCCGCTCCATCAGCTCCAGTGTCATCTTACATTCCACCTGCACCTGCAGCAGCAGCTCCTGAACCAGTGTACGCCCCAGCTCCAGCCGCCGCTGCCCCCGAGCCAGTCTACCAACCTGCCCCAGCACCAGTATACCAGCCAGCTCCAGCCGCAGCAGCGCCAGCTCCAGTCTACCAACCAGCTCCAGCTGCTTCCCAAATCTACGAGCAGCCCGCTGAGGATGGTTACAGATACCGTACCGTGCGTCGTCGTGTCTACAGACAACGTCGCTTGTAAGCTGGAAAGTTTCGAATATCTTGTAGATATCGCAGAGGCTTAAAAGGCGAATTGATTTTGTAATTCGTTGGAATTGTTTTATTATCCAGTTGTTGTTTTTTAATTGTTTAAAATAAATTGTTTGATATATCGAAAAATAATGTATTAATTTTCAGCGAATGTTCAAGGCTCTACCAAAAAGAGATATAAGAATTTGTACTGTTAGAAAACAAGCTCCCTTCCTTGACTTTGGTGCCGTCCCGATACAAAACACGGACACTGAACGCACTATTCGCCACTTCAGGTCGTCAAAAAGTTCGATCCCGGAAGTAGTTCTACAGTTTACCTAGGAAGCAATGACCCGCCAGAGCAGCAATGATGTTAAATACATATATCCTCCATTCATCGCGGTTATAAACTTCGAGACCTTCTACATCCCCCTTAGGCCAAGTTTGCCCAAAGATCAGACAGGTATATTTCAGTAGTTGCTGGACAATAGACAAGTTCCCTCTAGGGTAATGGCTATCGGACGCAATAAAGTCTGGGGCAACTTATATGCAGAAATATTTTTGCGTAGAGTTGCCGTCATTCTACTATTTTTTTTTTTAATCTACAAGTTGATCAAATATTTTAGTACTGATAGCAAATGAATGGTGTAGGAAAAACCGCTAATGCGAACAAATTAATTGATAGGGTTACCACCGTAACGCTTATGACCTTTAAAATAAAATTCATAATTTAGCAGTTAAATCTCGATATTTTTTCCGAAAAATTTAAAATTCAAGGATTTTGCAATAAAAATTAATAAATATTTTGATGCATATTAAGCGAAAGCTTGGAAAATTTTTTGGATAGGGTTGCCAACTGTTGTCAAATACGATAATTTAGTTATTTAATGGTTATACTACATTTTGAAGCAGGTTTTTCAAGCGAAAGGTAGCTCAGTCAACTTTTTTGTTATATTTTTGAAAAGAGTTGCCACCATTCGAAAAGCGGAAGTTAATTTAATTAAATTAAAAAAAAAATAGAGATACAAAATATGACAATATAAAGCCAGGCTAAAGTTGACGATTTTTCAGAATAACGTGTTCGGTAATATTTAGGAGTAGGGTTACCAACAAAAAAAACGTCTTTAGCTCACATTATAAAATGTACATATTTTTTTATATCTAAACAACTAAAAAAAATTATTATTTTTTTTTGAAATTACATATTTTGAAAAAAATTTCATCATTTCATAATCTCACTACCCGCAAATTTGAAATTTTTAATATTTTTGTCTTTTTTAGAGAATTTAGTTTTCTTTCTCACATATGTACATACATATATGCGTAGTACAACGTATATTTAGAAGTATGTATGCAAGTAAAAGCTAAACCGATAAATGATTCTCAAAGCATAAAAGTGTTCTAATTTCCGCATTTTAAAGTTTTAAACCGCTTTTGAGCCTTTCAATGCAATTAACATAAGTGCATATAAGCGCAATATGCAATACGGGGGGCTCCCCTTCTTTCCCACCGAAAAAAAAACCACAAACACATCTACCAAAGTTAGCCAATGCTGACTGCTGCTACCAACACTGCGGATCTAACACCGAGCACACCACCACGCACACCACCCCGCACACTACCCCGCACACCTCCACACACACCGCAGCACAGCACTAAATTAGTTTCCGACCCCATAAAATCGACGGCGGACTCTTAATTTATCGCCTCATTAAATGCGAGCAGCTTCCAATTGTTTCATGCAACCGGCGGCGTTCGAAGACTCAGCAACAGCCAACAGCCAATGGCCAAGCGATAAAGCCACATAGCGATTTACGCCTACTAACGCGTGTATGCTTTGTTAATGTTGATGAGTGGGCAGAGGCGCTATGATTGCTAGTGGGCGCAGGGGTAAAAGGTGGTACAGCGCGTACTTAAAGCTTGTTGCTGTAGTTAGCCGGTGCGCTCGACTGCCGTTTTGCTTGGTCGTTGTGTTGATTGCTAGCGATTTGCATAAATTCTAAATCGGTTTTAAATTTATTTGTTCAAAGCTTCCGCTCAGCGCTTCTCCACGACCACGACCACATTAGGGTGGTCTAAAATAAGTAAAGTCGGGCGCATAAAATATAGTTACTATAAAAATTTGGTTAAATAAATGATTGGGTATTATTATTGGGAATCTCCTGAAGAGGAATAGAGTTTCCCGATCAAAAAATATTGATTTTTAATGAATTCCATACCATTTCTACGAAAAATTGTTTTTCCCCATATAAAATACATTGAAAACTTTGAGCGACCTCAAAATATTTTTTTTTTCAAAATAAAAATATAGTGGTATATTTTTTTCGGTATAAAACAATCTTAGGGAGCGAGAGCATAAAAATTTATTTTTCACATGCATTTTTGGACCACCTTAATGTACATACATACACCATCATCACACTACTATTAACCACCATCTGTGGTTTTTCTACTTTCATTTTTGTTAAATTTTTTTTATAATATTTTTTTTTTGTTATATTTAATAGCTTCTTTGCTTCTCTATTTTTTTTAAGTTCAAATGCATCTCAATTTTAGCTGCCCATCGTTTCTAGGTTTGGTGGCCTTATCGAGAATGCCACGCGTGTGTATAATTATTTGTTGCTTTAAGCTATATTTTTTTTTATATAATTTATTAATTATATGATTTACAGTTTCATGAGGAGGCATATCAGGCTTTTTAAAATTTACATATTTTAAAAGGTGGCAGGCTAATACACATACATATATAAGGCTAAAATTTCGACGGCATATTTGTTTTCGACCATTGATCTATTCTTAAGTGATTTAAAAAAAAAATATGGCCGATTTTCCGTAATTTTGATTATGTTTTTAAACTGAAATTATATTTGAAATCTAGGTTTATTTGTATTTGTGTGAGTTTGGCTTCTAGATTATTCTCAAAAAGGAGCTGAGGACTAAATCCGCGCTTGCATTCATTGCATACTAAAAGTGCTTTACCCGAAAAAAAACTAAAAATATATTTTTTTAAGCCTATTACCTAAATATGGCCTTTCAAAATCTGAATTTTTGTCGAATTTATGTTGTTTAGTAAAAAATCCCAATTCTCTTAAATCTAAAAATTTTTTGTTTGTTTAATATTCTTTAACGTTAGTTTAATTGTTTAAAAATGTTTGCTCTTCAACTTACACTTGAAGTCATTAGTAGCAAATGTATGTACATATGTAACTTCTTAATTTCTTAGCTTCTTCACCCTTTCTGTTAATGTTCATTTTCCAATAATTCTTTCCGTTCTTTCGAATAGTCATTAATCAATTTGTACTTCCCCTTCCTCGTTTCGACGCTTTGCTTCACACTTTGTTAAATTCAAATTGTTATTTATTATCTTTGAATGGCGTTCATGGCTGAGTTAAAGAGACTTGCTACAGGTGTTTTTTGCGAAGACAATTTTTGTTAACGGCTTAAGAAGCAAAAAGAAGAAGAAAAAAAACGTGAGTGTTCCTCGTTTATAATTTTAGTTTTTTTTGGTTATTTTTTATTTCGTGTGTTTATCATTTCGCCTGAGCCTAAACCGATAAACGTTTGTAGTACCAAAAAAGAAGATTTAGCTTTTCTGAATTTTTTTTAACTTGCAGTTTCATACAGATATCGCTTTTAACATCTGTTTTTTTTTGGCATACATGTATGTAGGTATAATGTATTATAAAATAAGTTATAGGAAACTAAGTATGTTCTTATGCCGAACCAGTTTTCCCTGCTGGCTAACTCAAATTAGGCAGCTAATTAAAATTAGGCAGCTACTTATTTAATTGAGTGCATTGAACTGCCACTGCTCATCAGCAATGGAAACTTTAGAAAATGAAAGTTTATTTATTTAGATTCATTAATTGAGACAGTCAAAGATTGCAGTGCAAAATCATATATAAAGTACGCAACTATTGTGGCTTAACAAACACAAGTGGATTGCACTTCACTGGAATAACTAAACCAAACCAAACAAAGCCAAAATGGTAAAGTTCTTATTCACCAAAAAAAAAAATCAAAATTAATAATTCGAAATCCTTTTCTCTCATTTCCAGAAATTCTTCTCCTTTGCCGCCTTCATAGCCGCATTGGCCGTCGCTTGCGCTGACGTCTCCGAACTGGGTTACGGCTACCAGCAGCCGGCAGCTAGCGCTCCATCTCGTTCATACATTCCGCCAGCGGCATCTGCTCCTGCACCAGCCGTCGTCTCTGTCCCGGTACCAGCACAAGTGTACCAACCAGCTCCAGCTGCCGCTGCACCAGCTCCGGTCTTTGCTCCCGCTCCTGCTCCAGCTCCTGTTTATCACCCAGCACCCGCTGCAGCTGCTCCAGCTCCAGTCTATCAGCCAGCTCCTGCACCATCAGCTCCCGTCTCATCTTACATTCCACCTGCACCGGCTGCCGCAGCACCTGAACCCGTTTACGCTCCAGCTCCAGCTGCCGCCGCTCCTGAGCCAGTTTACCAACCAGCTCCAGTTTACCAACCCGCACCAGCGGCACCTGCGCCCGTGTATCAACCAGCTGCTTCCGAAGTTTACGAGCAACCCGCACAGGACGGCTACAGATACCGCACCGTCCGTCGTCGTGTCTACAAGCAACGTCGCTTCTAAGCATCGAAACCTAATCTAATAACTAAAAACCTGTAAAGACCTATTGCTCTACTATGTGTTTGTGAGAAAATAAATTTGACATTACCTACCCACCAATGTTTGTTGAAAGAAAAAACACTGACTTCGTAGCCTTTTCAAAATAGCAAACTCAATGGGCTCAATTAGAACTGAGACTGTAGATCACAAAATGCTGGTTAAGATGCATCTAGCTGGCTATAACTCACACATTGGCTGTTTGCTCCTTGGAGGAACCATATAAGAATCGAGCCTTACGCAGCTAGCGAGTTCCAATTGATTTCAAAAATTTTGTTGGACAGAAATTCCGTATTATGAAGACATTGCCTACGCCTGTATGAAATATTCTTCGAAGTCCTATCGATTTTTCGGGCCTTTCCTTTCTTCCGATTCCTGTCTCATCACGGTATCTGCGACAGAAGTCATTACATTTCAGGCCCGGCTATAGCTCCGGTAACTTGCCGTTGTAGTCGCTATGAGATCCTTGGTCTATGAAAACATTGAGGAATTGGGGTTATCCGTTGACAAATGAAGGATCAAGCCGGGCGAGATGTTTCACCTTTCGTTATTTGTTCCCCAAGCAAAGGTTGAGGCTAACAGTATCACCATCGTGAATGAAGAGCAGGAGATTGATAGCGAGAGGTCGAAAGGTATCACTTCCAAAGATCATTGGCAATCAAGAAACTTTGTCTCTCCATATCGAAAAGGAAGTTTTGAGCCCAAACGCTTAGTACCAGCAATCAACTCGCCAAAAAGGTACACATTTTCATGTTTGCTCTTTTGCACTGCGTTCGTATTTCACTTCTTCATCATATGCTTCTTCTTCTCTACCTATTGTTAGTTAATTTAATGTATGCATTACCTCTTTAATAAGCCTGGCCTTTCAACGCTTGCCAATTTGACCATGACTTTGAGAAACATAAAACAAATTTCGCGTGCACATTTTTTTACTTTTAATTTTATTTTCGGGTTTCATCAGCATTTGCCACTCACGCTTTACTCTGTAGGTCAGTTATTCGTCTTTGTTTGGCATCATCAATTCCATTTTGAATAAAACCAAATTCACAGCAGCTCAAAGATACATTTGTTACATTTTTGACAGCTAACAACTTAATTTAAGTCAAACAAATGGGCGCGCATTCGCGTAAATTATATGCATTTGTTCAACCAACAATGGCTGCGTTTAATGAGTGCAATAAAAACAATAGAAACTCAAGTGATTCCCATGTCCAGCTCAGTTCCGTATTAGATAAGCAATTAAGGGGAGTAATTTAAGCTAATAAATAGGTAGTAA